AGGGGTTTTAATTAGGGTTCAAGGTCAACCCTAAACCCCGCGTGTCCGAGAGCGGGCGCCGAAACCGCAAGCCGATGTGGTTTTGCTTTTGATTGTTACGGAGACCTTAAAAGACAGTTGCAGCCGAGAGGACTCCAGACCTGTTGCATGACCGATAGGTCCTACTTTTGATGTGTAGACCGTGGCTACTATTAAGTGATGGTTTTCCGTCTTTAAGCCTCGTGCGGAGGACAGATTTGCCTGCATGTTTCTTCCTGCTGCGCAGCAGTTCTGTGTGCTTACCGAGTTGCAAGCTTGTTTGTCACCTGGTGCTTCTCTGGTTCCCAGATGTCAGAGGTATAGTTATCGTTACGTGCTTGATGTTCCTTCCTGTTACTCTCACAGCGTCCGAAGGTGATGCGTCTGGAGCATAAACCCACAATGTGTTGTTTACTCGAAGTGGTGCCCTTTATGTTTGCAGTTTCAGTTGGTGGTGGTAAGTCAAGTTTTTTTGTATATACCCCTCCTTTCCGTCTTGATGCACCACTTCCCTTGATCTCTGTACATGGATTTGTCTAACTCCGTTTGCCTGACAGACGATGAGCGAACTTGAGTCATCGACCAAGAGAGTAAGAACATGAGGCAGAAACAGAGTGAGATGAAAGAGGGTGGGACCGACAGCAGCAGCACTGTGGAGTCGTGCCGAATCGTGCCGCACATGCCTCGCTCTTGTTTATCTCTTCGTACGCGGGGAGGGCGATTGAAAACCTGCCAAAGACTGCAGCAGCAAGTCAGCTCCACGACAGGATGAGAAGGACCTCCGCGAAAGGCTGAAGGCGAGTGCTGTTTGCGCTGGTGCCACTCTGTTCCACCGTCGCGGGGAGTAACTCCGATAATGTACAATTACCGGTCGAAGCAGGTCCGTGTCAGCAAAGTACTGTAGTACCAGCACAAGAGCTCAGAAGAATGTCATAGGCAGCTTAACAGCTTGTGTTTTCCATGGGCCTTGGACAACCACATGTGATATAAGCCGTATCCAGCTAAACACGACGCAAGAGACTCAGCCGCTTCTGGACGCAAGTTCAAGAGGTTCACAAACCAGACTCGGTTCTGGAGTCACACAGATCTTGTCTCGGTATCTTGTATTCTTTGGCTTGCAGCAGCCACAGAGGGTAGTGTCGGCGGAGATCGGGATTAACAAGGCCGACACCCTACGTGTATATTCGGCCTGCTCCAAAGGACGTTTCCCCCGGTTTGAAACAAAACATAAACGCTCTACAGGGGCATTGGTCCGAATAAATTCGAGAATTCCCGGCCCTGCAGCTGAAACATCGGGGCTGGGCTTTGTTGACTTGATCGTGGTTGAGGTTGAAAGCTTCAGCCCTGTGTCTTACAGGAGAGACTGGTTGCAACTCTGACATGCAGGCTGCAGCGCTTTGGGCTGAACTTCCAGTGGGGATCCCCAGAAAGGGGGCTGCAGGGTTGCCTTGAGCATATGATTGTCTGTTTTCGTTGTTTTGGTTTGTTCTGGGGGGATGGGTGTGTAGGTTTGGTTGGTAGAGAGGCCTCGGGTTTAGGGTGTGGAGTTGTAGCTTCAGGGTCTTAAATACGTTGTATATTTGAGTGTTAGGTTGAGGGTATTTCGGGTGGGGTGCGGGTTCCAAAGGGTCTTCCGGAAAGGGATTCTGGGGCTCTCATCAAACAGCATTTGTTGGCGAATTCGTGGTTGTCCTGGACCAAGAACCGTGCTTGTAAAAGCTTTAAAGGCAAGCTAAGCCAGCAGAAGGTTGGACCAGCGCTGTTGAGGGCGCTTTAATATTTAAGTCGACAAGCAGGCAGTAGGCGAGATGCGAAACTCATTGTAATTACAGCATCGGGTCGCGACTCGCAATCCGAAGTTTGGTGCGGCAGCTCGCTGGGCAGCAAAAGCCATAAACTAGGTTGAGTTTGGGTTTGGCTGTTAGCACTGAGGAGTTCTTCTCAAGGACGCAAGTTTTGAACATGCTGCCGCGGCCGCCTGGGCATGCTCCGACTATGGCGATCACGACAACCGCGGCGCAAAGGACCATGGCAAGCCCCAGCCAGAGCCACAACGCCCCTTTAGTTCAGACAAGGCATAGACAAAGAAGCATCATCATCGCAAAACCGCAAGTGTCGAAGACGGCACGGAAGATCATGGAATATACTTCGGACATTGACTTCAAACGTGACACCCTTGTTTGAGCAGACATTTGATGAAAAAATAAAAAGCTGACGGCCTGCCTTAGCACCCTTACATATTCATCGACTACTGAATCTCTTCGCTCCTTTCATCACTACTAATCCGATTCTGACTGCCTGCATCTTGCATCCAGGAACCTCTAGACTATAGGTTCTAGGTTGTTGCACCCAGAAAAACATGTTTAATTTGGCCGACGCGAGGTTCAGCATCTTCAAGACGAGTGCAAAGAATGGGGCCTCCTTCCAGCTAGTTCCTTGTCTCAAGGCTGATTACCTAGCAGTTTGCTGCAAAGTGGTGTAGCTTAGATACCCTCCAGTCTATGTCGGAATACTCGCCTGCTGGGCTGCGATCATTTTTTGGTTCGAGCCTGCAAGCCCTAAGCTTGGAGCCGAAAGCTCTCGAGTGTCGCCGAGATCTTTGGAAGCAGTTAGTACCTAATGCGTACATATACTACTACCTATCTAGATATACGTGTATGTGTGTACACATATACCTGTGCAGACACACATATATAGATGTGTGTATATATGCATGTATATATGTATTATTGGCTTTCGTTTGTGTGTTTGTTTGTCCGTTTATCTGTGTATACGTTTATTTGTAGGTTGCAGACAGAGAGAGAGTCATTCCAAACTTCTCACGCCCACCCGAAGGCCTGCAACAGAAGCCGGCGAAGGTCTGACAAGCCCCGTAAGCCTGAGGGAGTGAGAGAAGCAGAGAGATGTATGTGTGTATGTATATATATATATATATTTATATATATGCTACATATATATATATATATATGTATGTATGTATGTATGCGTGTATATATATATATATACATATGCATGTCTATATATACATATATACAGCTTTTCAGAGGCACTGAGATAGGTTGAGGTGAAAGATCGCTGGGGCGGGTTGTGAATCTGAAGCAGAGAACATGCGACCAGTTCGGGGGTGACTCTGCTTCAGTGCCTTTGCAGCTTCAAAGGAAGCCTCTTCAGGGCTCGTGGCTTCAATGCTGCAGAGCTTTCGAACCCTAGAATATATAATTATGGCCCCTCCAAACAGACGCTGTAGCCTTGACGAAAGTAGGCAATGAAAGGATTAGGTCGGGTAGGTAACGACTGCTGAGCGGGGCTGGCTTGCCCCATCGAGTACTTTTTTCTATCGTAGTTTGCCTGCTCAAGATAGCAAGTGGGTATAGCCCGAATCAAATCCCCTTATCCTATACCTCACACCCCGCGATAGTTTGGAATTAAGACTCAAGATAAGCGAGGCCTTGAAACTCTTCGTTTGGGTCTGTCACTCGGTCCCTAAGCCCGCAGCCCTTAAGCTCTTTAAGTATTTGCTCCAAAGCTCATGTTAAACCCTCGGCAATGAAGCCTCAAACCCAGTCCCCATTAACATCTCTAAGCCTGAAACATACTTCTTGAGGTTCCGACCGAGGCGTTCTTATGGAGCCCTCGCCCTGGCTGACACGTTCGGGGTTTAGGCTTTGGGGTTTGGGCTTTAGGGTTTAGGGTTTAGGGGTTTGGGCTAGAGTTAGGGCGTAGGGGCTGAGGGAACACGCCTGATGCTTCCTTTGATACGTTTATTTCTGCTCGTTTGCTCGTTGTATGCTTTGTGCGTTTTTGGGGTTGAAGGGGCTTGAAACAGACCATTCGAGCAGTTTTGTGTGATTCGAGCGCTTTTCTCTTAAACGTGCGCTTTCCGTCTGAAAGGCTCTTTGCACTGGATCATTCCTCAAATGCAGTACCCTAAACCCTAAGTCCCTTGAACCCCTACCTAAACCCTAAGTCCCTTGAACCCCCACATTTCCAAAGCTGGCTTTCAGCCTAACAAATGCAAACAATGCATATCCCTAAACCCTAAACCTAAACCCTATAAGACCCTAATGCAATGGCGAGCATTGCTCGAGATCTTCGGTGATCGGAAGGCGCGAGTTGAGCATCATGAGCATTTGACCATAGCACCGTAGGAGCCTTGGCTGGTTTGTGCAAGGTCGATCATATCACTTAGGGTTTAGGGCACTCTATGTTCCTGTTGCCAGGTGGCCCCTGGACCATCGGATGCCTTCGCCTGTCGAGGTGCACGCCACCCGTGCTACTGCATGCTTGGCTGCTCATATGTGCAGGGCATGCATGTGTGATCAACTTCATGTGCTGTCTTTTCAAGCTGGCACAATGCAACATGTTTCGGGAGGGCTTTAATGTCCATGTTTCACAATTTGCTTATTGTAGGGTCAGAGAAGTTAGCTATAGATCCATTGCAAGCCATGGATGAGACTCCCAGGGCAGGGGCAACGGATTTGGCCCGGGCTTGGGAAAGCAACAGTACAGTGCGTCGCCGTGCACATGTCTACCAGCTGGTGCTCTTGATGCATTAGCCTACACTGCATGGCAGCTTTGCAATACCATACGATAGCCAATGAGCCCATTGCATCCCAAGGTAAAGGTGCCTCCGAGTGGACGCATCGACCGTGATGCGATCGATCTGAATGAGGATGTCCTGGCGCCCGTGGTCACACATCTGGGTATGAGGGTAGGTGTGGATGTGTTGGAGACACATCTACAGGCCTTGTATCAGATGATGGGGCAACCTCTTTCAGGTGCCTCACTTCCGGATTAGCATGCATGCTAGAGTATGACTGGCACTTGCATGGCATGTCATGCATACCGATACATTAAATTGATAGTTGCACTAAGGTGGGCAAGCCTCGATGTTGGCATGGTCTGTTAAGCGGCTGGTTTCGGTCTTCAAGAGGGTGGTCTCCAGGCCTCATAGGCCAAGGTCTGAGACCATCCGGAGTCTCATGGAGGCTGCTGGCATCCCAGTGCCAGCAGCGAGCACTGCTGGCAGTGAGTCAGAGGATGATGGGGTTGAGGGAGAAGAGGAGGAAGAGCTCGAAAGTGACCCCCTCGTTGACGAGACCATGGAACCCAAACCCGAAGCCGAAGCCCCACCTCCTCTCACAGATCTGACAGCCTCAGTCGTGAGTGCACCTGCTGCTGTGGATGCTGGGGAACTCGTCGCCATAGCACGGCCAACCAAGAAACCCAAGAAAGCTGAGCCCGCGGATGCAACAACCAAGCCTTTTGCCCCGACCGAGACCACAGAGGCCCCGACTGAGCGCAGAGAGGAGGCACCAACCGAGACCAAAGCCACCCCCGAAACCCCCACCGAGACCGCAGTGGCCCCAACCGTGGAGGTGCCAACCACTGCCCCAACCGAGACCAGGGAGGCCCCAAGCAAGACTGGAGAGCCCCCGAGTGCAAAGAAGAAAAAGCCCAAGACTCCAACAATGCTGAGGCTCAAGCATATTTTGGAGGAGGAGGCAAGCAGGAAACGCAAGAAGGATGTGGCTCCCAGCAGCCGTGAGGAAGCAGGTGTGAGGTTCGAAATCGTCCAGCACACTAGCTTAGACCATGCATGCATATATGATAGAACTCGACAACCTTGAAGGAGCCCTCACTCCAACATCGACTGTTTCTACAGCTGCCTCTACTACTTTCGAAGGAGGTACCTTGCACTTTGCACCATATAACCCCTAATGCCCTGAACAGTGTCCTGTAGACCCACGCTTGCAGGACACGTCCACGTCGTTGTGCGCCTGGATGATGGCTTGTACGAGTGCCAGGCTTGTGGCTTGATGGGTGACCTTGCAACTGTTCAGTCGGTGCAGTGTGATGGGAGACGGCAAGCCAAGATGAAGGAGCTTGTGCCTAGCCTAGTTAGAGCTTGTATTCTATGTCGGAGCATGAATATAGTGTGCATGAACCCAGTCGTAGTATGCATGCATGGCATACACATCTAAGGAAAAGATTCGAGAGCTCACTTTGGCCTTGCAAGAGATGAAGCGACAGCGGCTCTATGAGAGGGAGGCTGCAAAAGCTTCAGCTCCGATCGACCCGAAGCCCTCGAACCCGAAGCCCTCGAACGTGTGTCCACCGTGATCAATTAACCATACATTTGCAGTGCAGTCGTAATATTTCATAGTGAACCCCTGGCCTGCCAAAGCTTTCGCCCAGGCACGGACAACTTGGACACGCAGGTCTGGATGGAGGACTCGCAGCCTCCATGGGAGCCGGCACGGAGATGTTTGTCGTTTGAGGATGCAGGGTCGGCAAAGGATTTGCTATGTGTGGGGGTTCCGTCTGTGAACCCGAACGTCTCAAGCCCCAAGGCTGATGTTGAGGTTAGTGAAACCAAACCCAGCAAGCCAAAGGTTTCAGCAGCCACCAAGCCAGAGATCTGTGCCGAGCCAGAGAGTGCAGCAACAGCCACCAGGCCAGAGATTACGACCACAGGTGCCAAGCCAGAGAGTGCAGCAGCAGCCACCGCGCCAGAGATTACGACCACAGGTGCCAATGCAGAGAGTGTAGCAGTGGCCACACAGGTTGCAAGCAAAGGCAAGCCCCCACGTGACACCAAGTCCAAGCAGGCGATTTGTGCTGTCCCGTCACTTCCTGAGAAGCCCTCGTGCATGAAAGCCATCCCAGCTTCCCTCTGCCCGAATGATCAGAAGCATAAGAAGAAGGAGGAAGTGGTAGAGGAGGAGGAGGATGATGAAGCAAAAGCTGAGGGTGATGGTCTGGATGGTGATGCACTCACCGATGCGCCTGATGATGAGCCTGAAGACTTCGAATATGAGGATGATGATGATGAGGAGGGTGAGGCAGAGTCCCAGGGTGAGCAAGAGGAGGAGGAGCACATGAAGGTTATGAGACGACCAGCAGCCAAGGCAAAAGCAAAGGCGAAGGCAAAGGCACGAGGAGGAAGACCCAAGTCAAAGGCAGCCCCCAAGAAGAAAGCTGGAAAGGCATCCCCAAAGAAGGCCCCCGCCAAAGGTAAGCCACGAGCATCCCCGAAGAAGGCTCCCGCGAAGTCAAAGCGCAAGAACGAGGATGAGGATGCAGCCAACTCCAAAGCCCTGAAGTCCCGGAAGAGTGTTGCCTATCACAAGGCCCGGACAGAGGCCCTGGCAGCAGGCATGTCTGTGGAAGAAGCTTCCGATATTGCAAAGGAAGCTGCTCACTGGCATGTAATGTAATGCATGTTTCAAAACTTAGATGATCTGTGTTCGCAATTCCAACTTCTTTTCCCAAGGCCTACTACAGAACCACGACCTGAGAGATCTGGTGGCAAGGATGGATCGATGTGCCAGCGATTTTGATTGTTTTCCGCTGGTCGTGGGTGACGGGGAGATGTTCAGTATGAGCTGCAGTGATTAGAATCGTTTGCTGCCGATCCTGGCATTAACGGTGCCGGGCTAGCGTCGTCATACTGTTCATGACATCAGGATTTTAATGCCTGAAAAGGGCATCGCTACATTCAGTCTGGGGGCACCTGTGCAGCCACGCATACCATGGTGCAAAAAACAGTGCACGATGGGCTACTGCACGTCACAGATCCTAGAGTATGCATGCATGCCATAGATTAAACACTTTGTGTGCGCAGGTCTTCCTCAACTACGATGGAGAAGTGGGCCTGTCGTGCTATGTCATCGGGCACTGCTGTCTATGATTGTGGGCTCCTGACTATGCATGCTTGCAAGCATGCAGCCTGACACGTGCTTGCAGCATCTGCCTCCAGCATGGACATACATGATTGCTGGCATGAACATGGTAGTATATGCATGAATCATGATCTAGCTTGCATAGCTTATACAGCTGCTGCTTGCACCCGCCAAGCTACCATGCCGGTTCCACGATGGGAATCGTTGATTCCGAATCTTGTGCAAATGCAAGCCTCAAAGGCCTGACATCCTAGCTGCATGCATGTGTGTAATGTGACATCGACATGATGTGCTGGAGGTGTTGATCGGATGTGTGCTGTGGCTGCAACCTATACCATGTACCATGCCATGCACGTCTATTGTACCCTGTACACATTTCCCCATGGCCTCCAGCGCTTTGCAAGGTACTTCTTTTGATGTGGACAAGCAACGTGGACCTCCGCATGCAGGTGGAGATGCTAGAGCTCTTCAGTGGGGATGCGAGGGTCAGCCAGGTTTTTCGTGAACACGGGCGAGCTACGCTTTCGTATGATGTGGAATACGATCCAAGAGGGAGGTCAATGGACTTCCTATCACCAGGGGGCTTCGCGTGAAGGGCTTAGTTCATCTCACAATGAAGCAAAATCAGTGTTTGTGGTGCTCTAGATTGACTGTACTTGCTCCTGAATCGAAGGCTAGCAATGGCATGCGTGATGCGAGAAGGACCAAATGCTATGAATGTTCTGGCCCCTGCTTGTGCATCCTGGAGCCAAATGTCCCGTGCAACTTCTATGAGATCGGCTGTAAATCCCTTTGGCCGACAAGCTCTTCAATATGTGCGAGATGGTACAATGACTGTTTCAAGGCCTGTCTTGTGCTATCCGTATTGATCCAAGTCCTCAGCTTCAAACTTATAGCTAGCTTAAGCCAAAACAACTTCGCAGGATGGTTCTGCTTCTGCTCTTGATCCTGGCTGTGCATGCCATCTTCATTATCGAGCAGCCCAGAGGGGCTGATGATGTGTTCCCGCATCATCCCCGGTTCAACTGGTTTACAAACACTGTCTGCTGGGTTCCTTGGCATTGGTAATAAATTTGGGGCCCCCTTTCTTCGACCAATAATATATCGGTCATTGCCTAAAAATACCTAACCCCTAAGCCTTAGTGTAAGGGTTAGGGGTTCAGGGGTTGAGCTTAAGGGTTGGGAAAGTAAACTCCTGGAGACTGGGAGCCCGTCCTGGAACCATGTGATCCTGGCTTCATTCGCCTGTGGGATGGGCTATAGTTTTATACTTCAACTTGGGATTTGGCCTAAGACCCTTGGATATTTTTAGTTTACAGGGCTCTTACAGGTTTCCCAAACCTAGGCATGCATATAGGAATTCGGAAGGCTCCAAGAGTAAAATCCTAGAACCCTAACACCTTAACCCAAGGCTCTACACCCAAAGGGTCTTAGGGTTTTACGTCCGGGCCACCCTGATCTATTGGTACAGCGCAGTCACAAGTAGGTTTCCCAATATTATAGAATCGTGCACTATCGGGCTGCATTGTCATTTAGGAACCTGCAAGGCCCCACAACCCCAAGTCCTCCATCCTTGACCAAAACGCCAAACCCTAAATCCTAGCAAGTATCCCTGAGCCCTGCTTCCTTAGGCCGGGTTTTAGGGTGTAGTATTTAAAGCCGGTGCCTAGGGTTGCCTAATTCTCAGGAACTCGGAAGATTTCAAGACCCGACCCAGCAGAGGCTCGAGCCCAAGGCTAAACCCTAAACCCTATCGACCCTAAGCCATACACCCTTTGTTTAGTATCAGGACCACTAAACCGGAAGTGCCACAACGAGAGCAGCAGCAGCAGCAGCAGCAGCAACAACAACAGCTACAACAACAACAACAATGGTGACAGCAGCAGCATTGTCAGCAAAACGAGCAGCAACGACAACATTATTTCGTATAGTACAACTACTACTAGACACAACTGCCATTGCTAACCACGGTAGCAAGCAGTAGAGCTACTCTACTACGTGACTACTAGACACTACCACTGCCACTCCCACTACTGCTACTACTACTACTACTACTGCCACCACTACAACAACAACTACTGCTGCTACTGCTGCTACTACTGCT